TAGTTTTGTTTAAAAAAAAAAAAAAAAAAAAAGCTAGACTAAACTACCAACAACTGACCAACTAGTGATAAAAATCTTGGTTCTAAAAAGGGATTATTATCTGAAAATGCAAACGAGTTAGGAAGCACTGCTCAGCTCTGACTCCAGCCGGAGGCAGTAGAGAAGGAATTTGGGGGGGGGGAGGGTTCGTGCATACATGATGACTGCCACCTAGGAGCACATGACTGCAGACATGCGCATGCAGGGCCTCAGGGACACTGCTCTTAAATCTCCTATCAGTGGCTCAGCGGCGGCGCACTGACCTTATGTGGAGCAACCACGGGGACATCTCTCACAGAAGCATCAAAGGCTCTGCTGGCACAGACACTTATACTATATAATGATCACAAACATGCCAGGGCCTAGCTACGCACACATCGGTTTGTGGGCAGCTTCTCAATTACGGAGCACAGTGAGCACCACCGCATCCCAGCCTTTGAGACTGTCAGGGTCAGATGTCTATTCCATGGCTTTCCCAGGGAGGGCAGACTGGTACCTGTGCAGTTCAAGGTGTGGTTGTCTCCAGGTTTCCAGGAGTTCCCCCCAGGGGAAGAATGGCCTGCTTTGCACTGGCAGCTGTAATTCCCCAGGGTGTTGACACAGGAGCTGTGAAGGCCACAGATCGATGAGTTTTGAGAACATTCATCAATATCTAAAAAGAAGAACAGAGAATCGATTATTAATCACAGTGGCACTTACAGGCCCAAACCAGAATCAGAGGCCCATTGTGTCGAACGTGGGAGTAAAGGGGGCAAAGGTCTCGCCAGGCCTCTACGCAAGATGGAGATAGGGAAATGGAAACATGGAGACAATTTTTTCTCCCCACATCTCCTTGCCCTTTACTGCAGGGCCATGTGCTCGGATGTAGGGCACTGATGGGAGCGGAGGCTTCTGAGCTGTTCCTCAGCACATCTCCAGCATGGATCTCCATCCACTCGGCCCCATTGGTGTGCCTGGTGCACCCTGTCGCCCGGATTTCCTGGTTTTGCCAGGGAGGGCAGTGTGTCGCGACTGGTACCTGTGCAGTTCAAGGTGTGGCTGTCATCAGGTTTCCAGGAGTTCCCCCCGGGAGAAGAATAGCCTAGATGGCACCGGCAGCTGTAACTCCCCGCGGTGTTGACGCAGAAGCTTCCAAGGACACAGATCGATGAGTTCTGAGAACATTCATCAATATCTAAACAGAAGAACAGGGAATTGGTTACTAATCGCAGTGGCACTTACAGGGCCATACTGGGATCAGAGGCCCATTGTGCCAGACGTGGGAGTAAAGGGGCCAAAGGATTTGCCAGGCCCCTTGGACAAGATGGAGATAGTGACATGGAGACAATTTTCTCTCCCCACATCTCCTTGCCCATTACTGCAGGGCCAAATGCTCAGAGGCAGGGCACCGATAGGAGCGGAGTCTGCTCAGCTGTCCCGCAGCGTATCTCCGACATGGGTCTCCATCCACATGGCCTCACTGGTGCACTTGGTGCACCCTTTCACCGGGATCTCCCATCTCAGTCACAAGCTTCAGTTCCCTCCTTACGCCCCCTCCCCAGACCTGCGCCAGCCCCAGCCCGGTGTGTCAGAGCAGGGCAAAGCCCCAGACCCAGCCCGGCTGATGGAAAACCATTGTTGTTTCCGGGGAGACAATGGAGCAGCAGCCCCGGGGGCCTGGTCCCAGTGACTCTGTGCCCTTCACTCTGGGTGTGGATCTGGCTCTGCACAAGCCACCCCGACGTGTGTTGGGCACGGGGCAATGAGCCACAAAGGGCTTTGGTGCCCGGTCATGGGCATCCCTGAGAGCAAAGGCTGCGCGGAGACGGCCGTGGTCCCAGGGGTGCTGGCTCTCACCAGGCCCAGGAGGGCACCTGACACAGAGCCGGCCCGAGGTGCAGATCTGTGTGGGGAGAGTTTTCTGGAGAAAACTGCACATCAGGGTCATCTTCAGATTCAGATGAAAATCTTTCTTGAGATAATGTCACCTCTGATGTTAACATAGTAGGAGAATCAGACCGAGAAATGGTGAATTGAAAGCGGAGGAGACTAGTAAGTCTCTATGGGTATATGTCTACACTACAGCACTAATTCGAACTAACTGAATTCGAATTAGTTAATTCGAACTAAGCTAATTCGAACTAATGGAGCCAGACTAAAAAACTAGTTCGAATTAGTGTTTTGCTAATTTGAACTAGCATGTCCACATTAAGTGGACCCTGAACCAAGGTTAAGGCTGGCCGGAAGCATTCCGGCAGGGCATCAGGTTAGGACTTAGAGTCCGGCTGAAGGCAAATCGCTGTTGTTTCAGGGAAGTCAATGGAGCAGCAGCACCGAGGTCCTGACCCTAATGACTCTGCACCCATCACCCTGGATGAGGATCTGGCCCCACACAAGCTACCCCGGCATGTGCTGAGCACAGGGCAATGAGCAGCAAAGGGCTTTGGTGCCCGGCCATAGGCATCCCTGAGAGCAAAGGCTGCGCGGAGATGGCTGTGGTCCCAAGGAGGCTGGCTCTCACTAGGCCCAGGAGAGCACAGGACACAGAGCTGGGCTGAGGTGCTGGTGTGCACCGGGAGTCCCTCCATGACTGTCTGGGGGCAGGAGAGACCCTGCTGGGAGAACGCCTTCAGCTTCCAAAAAAAAAAAAAAAAAAAAAGCTAGACTAAACTACCAACAACTGACCAACTAGTGATAAAAATCTTGGTTCTAAAAAGGGATTATTATCTGAAAATGCAAACGAGTTAGGAAGCACTGCTCAGCTCTGACTCCAGCCGGAGGCAGTAGAGAAGGAATTTGGGGGGGGGGAGGGTTCGTGCATACATGATGACTGCCACCTAGGAGCACATGACTGCAGACATGCGCATGCAGGGCCTCAGGGACACTGCTCTTAAATCTCCTATCAGTGGCTCAGCGGCGGCGCACTGACCTTATGTGGAGCAACCACGGGGACATCTCTCACAGAAGCATCAAAGGCTCTGCTGGCACAGACACTTATACTATATAATGATCACAAACATGCCAGGGCCTAGCTACGCACACATCGGTTTGTGGGCAGCTTCTCAATTACGGAGCACAGTGAGCACCACCGCATCCCAGCCTTTGAGACTGTCAGGGTCAGATGTCTATTCCATGGCTTTCCCAGGGAGGGCAGACTGGTACCTGTGCAGTTCAAGGTGTGGTTGTCTCCAGGTTTCCAGGAGTTCCCCCCAGGGGAAGAATGGCCTGCTTTGCACTGGCAGCTGTAATTCCCCAGGGTGTTGACACAGGAGCTGTGAAGGCCACAGATCGATGAGTTTTGAGAACATTCATCAATATCTAAAAAGAAGAACAGAGAATCGATTATTAATCACAGTGGCACTTACAGGCCCAAACCAGAATCAGAGGCCCATTGTGTCGAACGTGGGAGTAAAGGGGGCAAAGGTCTCGCCAGGCCTCTACGCAAGATGGAGATAGGGAAATGGAAACATGGAGACAATTTTTTCTCCCCACATCTCCTTGCCCTTTACTGCAGGGCCATGTGCTCGGATGTAGGGCACTGATGGGAGCGGAGGCTTCTGAGCTGTTCCTCAGCACATCTCCAGCATGGATCTCCATCCACTCGGCCCCATTGGTGTGCCTGGTGCACCCTGTCGCCCGGATTTCCTATGTCCGTCACAAGCTTTAGTTCATTCCTTACACTCCTCCCTAGTCCTCCGCCAAACCAGCCCAGTGTGTTAGAGCAGGGCAAAGCCTCGGTCCCAGCCTGGCTGACGGCAAATCGCTGTTGTTTCAGGGGAGTCAAAGGAGCAGCAGCACCAGGGGCCTGGCCCCAGTGACTCTGCGCCCTTCACCCTGGGTGAGGATCCGGCCCAGCATGAGCCACCACAGCATGTGTTGAGCACAGAGCAATGAGCAGAAATATCTAAACAGAAGAACAGGGAATTGGTTACTAATCGCAGTGGCACTTACAGGGCCATACTGGGATCAGAGGCCCATTGTGCCAGACGTGGGAGTAAAGGGGCCAAAGGATTTGCCAGGCCCCTTGGACAAGATGGAGATAGTGACATGGAGACAATTTTCTCTCCCCACATCTCCTTGCCCATTACTGCAGGGCCAAATGCTCAGAGGCAGGGCACCGATAGGAGCGGAGTCTGCTCAGCTGTCCCGCAGCGTATCTCCGACATGGGTCTCCATCCACATGGCCTCACTGGTGCACTTGGTGCACCCTTTCACCGGGATCTCCCATCTCAGTCACAAGCTTCAGTTCCCTCCTTACGCCCCCTCCCCAGACCTGCGCCAGCCCCAGCCCGGTGTGTCAGAGCAGGGCAAAGCCTCGGTCCCAGCCTGGCTGACGGCAAATCGCTGTTGTTTCAGGGGAGTCAAAGGAGCAGCAGCACCAGGGGCCTGGCCCCAGTGACTCTGCACCCTTCACCTTGGGTGAGGATCCGGCCCTGCATGAGCCACCACAGCATGTGTTGAGCACAGAGCAATGAGCAGAAAAGAGCTTTGGTGCCCAGCCATGGGCATCCCTGAGAGCAAAGGGCGCACAGAATCGGCCATGGCTGAGAAATGGTGAATTGCACGTGCAGACTAGTAAGTCTCTATTGCGCATATTGCTCATCTGGCATTGACAGTACCATAGCACGAAGCACTGGTGCTATCAGAGGAGTTGGATTGTGCCTCAGTGCTGAGGGGCCTAGAGATGTGCGAGGCACCTCTGAGGCAGAGGCATCAGTGGACGGAGTTATGGGAGGTGCTGGGCTCTCATGCTGCATCAGCAAGGTAGTTTCAGTGCCAGATGTTATCGCAGCTGATGAGGCAGGCAACTTAAAGCCTGATGCCTTGGAGTGGGGCTTTGAGCGTCCCCCCTTGCCAGCTGTGCTAGAGGCTCTGGAGACTCCTGGAGTGTCATAGGTGCTTAGGCAGAGCAGCGCTGCCATTCTTGGTACCGGCCCAGAGGAAGACACCGGCATCTCCTGAGACACGGATGAGGCTCACTTTTTGGTGGGCTTTTTGCCTCTGCTTTGTTTCAGTTCCTCAGGCCGTTGACCTGAGTGAACTTTCAAGTAGAATTCACTTGAGAGGCAGGTCTCTGTCCTGTCACGACCACAATTTCAGTTTTGCACAATGCAGACATTTTTGAGAAACATGAGCCTCTCCGAGTCAGCGGACACAAAAAAAAAAAAAAAAAAAAAAGCTAGACTAAACTACCAACAACTGACCAACTAGTGATAAAAATCTTGGTTCTAAAAAGGGATTATTATCTGAAAATGCAAACGAGTTAGGAAGCACTGCTCAGCTCTGACTCCAGCCGGAGGCAGTAGAGAAGGAATTTGGGGGGGGGGAGGGTTCGTGCATACATGATGACTGCCACCTAGGAGCACATGACTGCAGACATGCGCATGCAGGGCCTCAGGGACACTGCTCTTAAATCTCCTATCAGTGGCTCAGCGGCGGCGCACTGACCTTATGTGGAGCAACCACGGGGACATCTCTCACAGAAGCATCAAAGGCTCTGCTGGCACAGACACTTATACTATATAATGATCACAAACATGCCAGGGCCTAGCTACGCACACATCGGTTTGTGGGCAGCTTCTCAATTACGGAGCACAGTGAGCACCACCGCATCCCAGCCTTTGAGACTGTCAGGGTCAGATGTCTATTCCATGGCTTTCCCAGGGAGGGCAGACTGGTACCTGTGCAGTTCAAGGTGTGGTTGTCTCCAGGTTTCCAGGAGTTCCCCCCAGGGGAAGAATGGCCTGCTTTGCACTGGCAGCTGTAATTCCCCAGGGTGTTGACACAGGAGCTGTGAAGGCCACAGATCGATGAGTTTTGAGAACATTCATCAATATCTAAAAAGAAGAACAGAGAATCGATTATTAATCACAGTGGCACTTACAGGCCCAAACCAGAATCAGAGGCCCATTGTGTCGAACGTGGGAGTAAAGGGGGCAAAGGTCTCGCCAGGCCTCTACGCAAGATGGAGATAGGGAAATGGAAACATGGAGACAATTTTTTCTCCCCACATCTCCTTGCCCTTTACTGCAGGGCCATGTGCTCGGATGTAGGGCACTGATGGGAGCGGAGGCTTCTGAGCTGTTCCTCAGCACATCTCCAGCATGGATCTCCATCCACTCGGCCCCATTGGTGTGCCTGGTGCACCCTGTCGCCCGGATTTCCTATGTCCGTCACAAGCTTTAGTTCATTCCTTACACTCCTCCCTAGTCCTCCGCCAAACCAGCCCAGTGTGTTAGAGCAGGGCAAAGCCTCGGTCCCAGCCTGGCTGACGGCAAATCGCTGTTGTTTCAGGGGAGTCAAAGGAGCAGCAGCACCAGGGGCCTGGCCCCAGTGACTCTGCGCCCTTCACCCTGGGTGAGGATCCGGCCCAGCATGAGCCACCACAGCATGTGTTGAGCACGGGTGTCAGCCGACGGTCAGGGCAGTGTGTGTGGGTCTGTCTCTTAAGTCTGCAACTGCTAAGACACGAAGTCTCGTCGCAGCGGGCAGCCTAGAAGGCTGAAAGGAGCTCTGAGTGCTTAAACAGAGGCCCATTGTGCCAGACGTGGGAGTAAAGGGGCCAAAGGATTTGCCAGGCCCCTTGGACAAGATGGAGATAGTGACATGGAGACAATTTTCTCTCCCCACATCTCCTTGCCCATTACTGCAGGGCCAAATGCTCAGAGGCAGGGCACCGATAGGAGCGGAGTCTGCTCAGCTGTCCCGCAGCGTATCTCCGACATGGGTCTCCATCCACATGGCCTCACTGGTGCACTTGGTGCACCCTTTCACCGGGATCTCCCATCTCAGTCACAAGCTTCAGTTCCCTCCTTACGCCCCCTCCCCAGACCTGCGCCAGCCCCAGCCCGGTGTGTCAGAGCAGGGCAAAGCCTCGGTCCCAGCCTGGCTGACGGCAAATCGCTGTTGTTTCAGGGGAGTCAAAGGAGCAGCAGCACCAGGGGCCTGGCCCCAGTGACTCTGCGCCCTTCACCTTGGGTGAGGATCCGGCCCTGCATGAGCCACCACAGCATGTGTTGAGCACAGAGCAATGAGCAGAAAAGAGCTTTGGTGCCCAGCCATGGGCATCCCTGAGAGCAAAGGGCGCACAGAATCGGCCATGGCTGAGAAATGGTGAATTGCACGTGCAGACTAGTAAGTCTCTATTGCGCATATTGCTCATCTGGCATTGACAGTACCATAGCACGAAGCACTGGTGCTATCAGAGGAGTTGGATTGTGCCTCAGTGCTGAGGGGCCTAGAGATGTGCGAGGCACCTCTGAGGCAGAGGCATCAGTGGACGGAGTTATGGGAGGTGCTGGGCTCTCATGCTGCATCAGCAAGGTAGTTTCAGTGCCAGATGTTATCGCAGCTGATGAGGCAGGCAACTTAAAGCCTGATGCCTTGGAGTGGGGCTTTGAGCGTCCCCCCTTGCCAGCTGTGCTAGAGGCTCTGGAGACTCCTGGAGTGTCATAGGTGCTTAGGCAGAGCAGCGCTGCCATTCTTGGTACCGGCCCAGAGGAAGACACCGGCATCTCCTGAGACACGGATGAGGCTCACTTTTTGGTGGGCTTTTTGCCTCTGCTTTGTTTCAGTTCCTCAGGCCGTTGACCTGAGTGAACTTTCAAGTAGAATTCACTTGAGAGGCAGGTCTCTGTCCTGTCACGACCACAATTTCAGTTTTGCACAATGCAGACATTTTTGAGAAACATGAGCCTCTCCGAGTCAGCGGACACATTGTGCATGTCCATCCGAGATGGGGAAGAGACACTTTGCATGCGGAACAGAGCTTAATACCCAGTGAGCCAGGCATAGCGCAGAGCAACTATGTAACTACAGGAAGGGAATAAACTGGGGGAGAAAGAAAAAAAACCTATTCTATTCTATTCTATTCTATTCTATTCTATTCTATTCTATTCTATTCTATTCTATTCTATTCTATTCTATTCTATTCTATTCTATTCTATTCTATTCTATTCTATTCTATTCTA